ATGGTTTCACCATTTTGAGTCTGAAATGAAATGGCAGAGTATAGAATGGCACCATTTGCATTCTCCATCAAAAAAAGAAGGCAAAGACAGTGCCATCAGTTGTGAAGGTGATGGGCACAGTCCTCTGGGATGCAGAGGCGTTTATTCTGGCCGAATTCCTGGAACCTGGGAAAACCATCAATGCTGCTTGTTATGTCCAGATGCTGCACAAGCTCCGTCGTGCATTGTGCGATAAACGTCCGGGATGAAACATCATCATCTTGCATGACAACTCTTGTCCCCACGCTGCTCGCCTCACACCGGAAGCAATTGCAAAGATGAGATGGGAAGTTCTTCCACACACCTCCTATAGCCCTGATCTGGCACCCTCAGACTACCATCTTTTCGGATTTGTGAAGGATCCGCTGCGTGGACAACGTTTTGAGACAAGGGAGGCAATTCAGAAAGCAGTGCGTCAGTGTCTTCGGATGGCTGGAATGGAATTTTCAAACTCCCAGAACGCTGGGAGAAATGTGAACAAAGATGTGGGAATTATGTGGTAAAATAAAGAAAGGTCTGTAGATTGGGGTGGTGTATTTGGTTTGTCAATAATAAAGCATGTTACTTTACAAAAAAATTGTTGCTCATGACTTTCAGTACGACCCTCGTATTTACAGTCTGATCAGCAATGCTTATGAATTCTGTTTATTTACCTTTAATTTCCCAATGCAGAGTAAAATCAAAATATTTTACTTAAAAATTACCTCATTAAGACTCCTGAAGTTTGGTCCATGTTTCACAGGACATCCTCTGTGTGTCACATTCAATTTTGAACCAGCGCTCAACTTGAGGTCACCCCAGTGCCATACTTTTAATATTCTACACTCAGGAATGTGCTGGATACAAATTTGAGCCGGGAACAAGGCTTAATTCAGAGTTCTGAAATGATGCATAGTAATAGATCTTTAATAAGGTAATAAGGTAATATTTAATGTTTTATTAGCCAGGAGAGTGCAGTTGGTATAGCGACCGACTACAGGCTGGATGGCCAAGGGGTTGTCTAGACCAATTCCATGGCCCACCCAGCCTCCTATCCAATGGGTAATGGGGGCTTTCTCCGGGAGTAACGCAGCCAGGAAATGAAGCTGATCACTCACCTCCAACCAATGCTGAGGTCAAGAATACATGGATCTATACAGCCAGTCCCCTATATGCCTCCATGGTGTAGTGCTAAATGAGTTAAGCACAGAGACAATTTTACCCTATACCTAAGGCAATTTTTGTATAATATAACAAATAACAATGTGGCTGTTTGAAAATTTTCTCTATATTTTGGTCTGATGGTGATAACAAATACATGTATGGAGTTACGTATATAAAATTTAGTACCCAAGACTGACAACATACTTACATGGTTCAAACTAAACTCTAGGGCACATCCAACAAATTAACAGACAGATCTACACTTAAGTAATAAGTTCTTCATACACAAAGAAAGAAAAATAACAACAGATATTAGAATTATGCATTCTTTGTATCATTTATTTAGTTACACCAGTATAGAAAAAGATCTTTTTAAATGGGGTAGTAATTGGATGTGAGAGCTTACATTCTTAAAATGTTATGTAAAGTTATCTTAACTAGCACCATGCCATGAAGACACATGGTATGGTGACCACATGCACAGATCCAAGCCTCAGCACTAGACAGAGTTGTACACTTCATACTGTGAGGAAAAAGTCCCCAGTACACCCTGGACAGGTCTGGCATGCCAGGGCTGTTCTGGAAAATGAGGAGATGAGAAAAATCTTCTGCCCCCAACTGGGAATAGAACCCATATTTGTTGGTCATGCAATCTGTACCTTAGTCCCTATACTAACTGAGCTATCCCAACTAATCTTCTTCACATTCTGCACATATCCATATATGATCTATTGAGAATGAATACTTTTTCATATCTGATTCCACCCCTTGGGATATTCTCCTGGTTTTGCTATTAAAGAAAAACCAAGAAATTACTTTACTAAGAACTAATGCAAATTCAACTTAATCATCAGTAATTTGGAAACAGTTTTAAATACAACTGAACTAAAGCTGCTGGACAGTCAGTTGTGACCAGTGAGCAGATGGTGGTGGAAAAACTGCCATTACACAGTGTTTGTACAGTGGACATACATGGCAATACTAACACAAAGTATTTACATGTCATGATATTATACAGAAATTAGATTCATTCACTACTTCCTAGCATAAGAAAATGATTGTCTACATATGACACCTTTGATTTAAGAAATGTAGAACAGGTTACATGTTTAATCTAGAAATAAAAAATATGTATATCTGAAACATCCCACTATGACATTTAAACTCCTTCCCACCTCCCTCCATTAAAACAGCAATTTAAGTTACATCTTCATCCTTCAGATGGCAGTTTCAAAAGACACAGCTGCCATCTGTGTAAATACGTGAGAACTACATGTTTCCAGAGAAATGGCATGAAAACAACAATACATACATACAGTGAATCATCAACTATTATAAATATAATTATATATATAATCATAAAAAAGGATGTTCAAGTTGCAGAAGTTTCACTGGCCCATAAATATTTAATTTGAACATTTCATACAACAAAATTGCCTGAAAAATATGCACTCAATGCAACTTCCTATTACTAATTTATTATATAATTTGAATAAATGTTAATCCTGTACCTAAGCACTACCTCATAAAGATACACAGGGGGTCTACCTGTGGCTGTAAAATTCTTTTCATGCTTAGTACTCCATGGAGATAATGGTTAGCGTATTTAACAAACTGCCAGTAGCTCAGCCTATACGTCACTGAATGAGAGAATGACTGATGAATTAGAAAGGACAGAAGGAAGCAGTCATGGCCTAATTTATGGTAGTATCCCAACATTTGTGAGGAGGGACCACAGAACACTATGAAAAATGTCAGTATAGCTAATGTCTGGGCAGAGATTTTAATCCAGGGCCTATCAAATGCAATGCAGGAGTGATACTCACTTGACAGCTATGTTAGGTGATTAATAGTTAGGTTTGTACTCAGCTGCCTTTAGAAAAGGGTGAAGATCCCCCTTAGAATCAATGGGTGGGTTAACCCAGAGCCATTCTAAGAGAAAAATTCTTAAGTCCATGGCCAAAAAAGGAACCCTTACCAGTCACTGTACCACATTCTATGTGGTAGCTTAAAAATTGTCTGGGACAGTGGCCAAGTCTCAAGCCTAGCATTCCTAAGCAGCTGCTTTCAGAACACTCTCCTTCATACACTATACCCTTCTGCCTGTATCTGCACAGTTCTTTGAAAGATTTCTAGAAACAGCCATGAATGACTCATTGCAATGAATTCTTCATCCCACTGAAATTAAGGGACAATATTACGATTACTTATTTTGCTTAAATTTATTCTGATATGAATTCCACAAACTGTAACATCACTACTAAAAATTGGATTCCAACACATATTCAGGATTTTAGAGTGATAAATAATACATCCCTCAACATCATCTATGCATCCCCTCTGCCATTCAATTACAGAAATATTAACTCATTATGTCTGTATTTCCCACTGGAAAATGAAGAGTGGAAAAATGTTAAAAAGGTATCTACCAACTTTCTATACACAGTTCTCTCTAAAAGTAATAGACAAAGTCTGGAATGTTTCATGTATAAAATAATTTAGAATATGTTTAAATTTCAGTGCAATATCCATAAGTATCACCTTGTTTTTCTGTGCCTCTTGAAAATAATCTGTATTCTTGAAGACACTATTATATTGTACGTAGATCGTACTGAAAGTCATGAACAACTTTTTTTTGCATGCAACCTGGGAACAGCAGATGAAAGAGAGTATGGTGGTAGGTGGAACCAGCTGTTGTGTTAACCTTGAGTGTCTTGTGACGTCAATAGCTTGCATCACGTAACCAGTATCACTCCTAACAAAACTGCCGACGATATGTCGTTTCGCCAGCGTCCTGTCATCGAATTTCTTGTGAAAGAGAAAATCCCTGCTGCAGAAATTCACCAGAGACTTCAGTGTGCTTATGGAAGTGTGCACATGGGTGCGAACAGTGTTCGAAGATGGGTGAAACATTTTAAAGATGGGAACACCAGCATTGAAGATGAGCCTCGGAGCGGTCGTCCTCGAACAGCCTCAACTGAACGCAACAAGGAAAGAGTGGATGAGATCATTCAAGATGACAGGCATGTGACTGTGGACACAATAGCCCGAAAACTTGGAATAGGGCACAGTGCAGTACAGGAGATGATTGAAAGCTTGTACTCGTTGGGTCCCGCAGTTATTGACAGAAGACCACAAAGGTCAGCAAAAAGCCATCACCTCAGAACTGCTGCAGAGATATCAACACAAAGGAAATGATTTTTTGTTCTTTATTGTGACAGGTGATGAAAGCTGGTTTCACCATTTCGAGCCTGAAACGAAACGGCAGAGTATGGAACGGCACCATTTGCATTCTCCATCAAAAAAAGAAGGCAAAGACAGTGCCATCAGCTGCAAAGGTGATGAGCACAGTCCTCTGGGATGCAGAGGCGTTTATTCTGGCCGAATTCCTGGAACCTGGGCAAACCACTAATGCTGCTCGTTATGTCCAGACGCTGCACAAGCTCCGTTGTGCAATGCGCGATAAACGTCCGGGACGAAACATCATCATCCTGCATGACAACACTTGTCCCCATGCCGCTCGCCTCACATTGGAAGCAACTGCAAAGATTGGGTGGGAAGTTCTTCCACACCCCTCCTATAGCCCTCATCTGGCACCCTCCAACTAATATCTTTTCAGATTTGTGAAGGATCAGCTGCATGGACAACGTTTTGAGACAAGGGAGGCAATTCAGAAAGCAGTGTGTCAGTGTCTTCGGATGGCTGGAACAGAATTTTACAGAAGGGCGATTTTCAAACTCCCAGAAACGCTGTGAGAAATGTGTACAAAGAAGTGGCGATTATGTGGAAAAATAAAGAAAGGTCTGTAGACTGAGGTGGTGTACTTGGTTTGTCAATAATAACACACGTTACTTTACAAAAAATTGTTGCTCATGACTTTCAGTACAACCCTCGTATTAAATGGACTGGAAATAGTTAATAGAGTATAATAATCTCAAATCTTACATAATAATACTCTATAATAATTTAGGATTGTTTGCTATCCCATGGGACAATTATTAAGTTTGCTCAGTCCATCTGTCAGTCACTCATTCAGTATGCATGACAAAACTGGACCACCAATAGATTTGTATGAAATCTGATATGTGAGAATTTTACAAAGAACTATCAAGCAATTTAAATTTTGTTACAGATCAGAAAGTTTTAATGACCTGTTTACATAAAATTTTCCTTTAGATCAGAAAACTTAATACTACAACCTACATACGTAGGGCAGTCATAAAGTTCCTGGAATTCCACTGCAGACGGAGAACAAGCAATAAGAGAGGGCACATACTGTTGTGGTGGGGAGCTCAGCATGTCTGCCTGCAGGCGCAACAGGTTTGGATAGGTTTCAGTGTGTAGTGTAGTTACTGTTCCGTTCGAATTAGACGTGAGTGTTGGTCATGCGGCACAATGTCGCAGTTCAAACAGCGTACGAACATCAAGTTCATGTGCAAATTGTGAAAATCTGCTTCAGAGACGCTATCAGTCCTGCAGCAAGTTTACAGGGATACTTCACTAAAGAAATCCGCAGTTTACGACTGGTTTTCCCGGTTTAAGAATGGGCAGGAGACATTAGAGGATGACCATCGCAGTGGGAGACCTTCAACATCCAGAACCGAAGAAATGGTTGGAAAAGTGCGACAACTTATTCGATGTGATCGAAGAATGACCATCGCGGAGTTGGAGCATGAAGTTGGTATCTCTCACAGATCCATTCATGCCATTTTGTCCGATGATTTGAAGATGAGACGTGTCAGTGCGAAGTTTGTTCTGAGGCAGCTGACCACGGATCAGATGGAATGTCGCATGATTGGTTGCTGGCAATCTGACAAACGTACGCAGGACCCGACGTTTCTCAAAAAGATCATCACTGGTGATGAGTCATTGGTGTTCGCCTACGACCTGGAGATGAAGATGCAGTCATCAGAGTGGCACACAGCGTCGTCTCCCTGGACAAAAAAACACGCCTCGTCAGATCCAAAGACAAAGTGATGCTCATTGCATTCTTTGACATCGACGGTTTGGTGCACCATGAGTTCATACCGCCTGGACAGACTGTTACTGGCCATTTCTAGTTGCAAGTTTTGCAGAGGTTGTGCAATGCGTTTTGGAGGAAGTGGCATGACAAGTGGCAGGGACAGTGGTTTCTGCATCACGATAACGCACCGAGCCATACATCACTTGTTGTGCAGCAATTCCTTGCCAAGAAAAGCTTTCCTGTCATCACTCAACCACTGTATTCTCCAGATCTCGCTCTGATTGACTTTTGGCTGTTCCCTACTCCGAAAATGGGCCTCAAGTGGACACTTTTCGCAACCATGGAGGACATCAAATCGAATGCGACGGCTGAGGTCCAGAAGGTTCCAAAAGAGGCCTTCCACCGCTGCTTCCAACAATGGCAGGATTGATGGAGCAAGTGTGTGTGTGCAAAGGTCTTACTTTGAAGGTGATTAGGTAAGTGTTGCCATATGTCCTACCATTAGAATGCTATACCACCATTCCATGAACTTTTTGACTGCCCCTCGTATATAAATCTGAATAATCTCATTTAAAATTCAAACTGCCAGTCCCCTTCCAATTTTCTGGTAATGAAATTGAAGATGGGAAAAGCACTAAAAGTTCTCTGGCACGGCTAACATCAAATGCTGCCTGTCAAGATGAACCTTAAGATAAATTTCTGTACTATAAACATATTTTTACAATTAGTATGACGATGATGATGCATTTTTTTTGTGATACTTACTAACACACAACATTCTGCCAGGCGTTGAATGGTGGAATAATCACTTTGCTCATAAGAGAATCTGCATGATTCTTAGTGAAATGCAATGTAAGAGCCTCTTCACTGCCAAATGTTCTCATGCAAACACTGCATAATGTGCCAGAAAGCTCTTCAGAATTGATCATACGACTACCACCTTCAACACTTCTGTTATATAATAACTGGATGTTGTGGTTCTTTGTACTATGAATTTTGAGACTCCTTTCATTACTAAACACACTGCTGCAGAGAGAGCATGGAAACAGACCACTGTTTGTTGTAGATGCCACATTCATATTCACAAGGCTCACTGACTGGTTATCAGTATTAATATCAGAACAAAACATGTTTATGTCTTCATGCATCTTCCTACAGTGGAGTCTTCGACCTTTTTCAGATGAAAATGATCTAGCACATGAAGAACATTCATATAATTGATTTTCTGTGCTATTAGTGAAATTTAATTCACTGCTTTGATGTATAAGAGGCATTTCATTTTTCACTATATCTTCAGAATGTCTTTCTGGATGGCTTCTTGTATAATGCATACTCAGATCATTCTCACTTAAAAATGTTCTGTCACAGAAGGAACACACATAATCACCTGCTTCAGTGCCACCCCCAATACATACAATTTGGCTTCCTCTAACAGAGTCCTCATTCAAACGATAATCTTTGTGGTACTTTCTCTGATGAATCTTCAAACCCTCCTCAGAAATAAAAAGCATGTTACAGCATTTAAAAGGAGGACTGAACAGTGTATTTCTAATTTGTAGATTTTCCCCATGCATTTGTTTCTGCACTGCAGAGGCATCACTGTGTTGTACAGTGCAATGAATTTTTAAACCTGCTGCACTATTAAAACGTCTCCGACACAAAATGCATGAAAAAGAGTCCTTGGAGCAATTGCCACTTTCACTATTAGACTGCAAATTATTCTTGATATTTTGTGGGGTAGAGGAAGGTACTCCTGTGGTATCTTTAGTTACATGTAAAAGGCCTTTATGATTCCTTAACCTATGACAATTATAACTATGCTCTGAGAAGAAAGTTCTGTTACATGCAGGACATTTGTAAGTGTCAATATTGTTGTCTTCTGCCTGCTGAACAACATTCTCCTGTACCATGTGCTGCAGCCTTGTGCAATGAAGCCTGAAACTCTTTACGTTCTTGTACTTGTCATTACAAACCTTACATTCATAATAGCCCAATGGACCATCATTATCAGTTTCTTGTGATGAAATTACTCCTTTAGGAATGCTTCCTTTATGAGAATGTAAACTATGGCGATTGTAACTATGCTCAGAAAAGAAATTTCTGCTACATAAAGAGCAGTCATAAGTGACGACATTGTCGTCTTCAGCCTGCTGGGCAACATTTTCCTGTACCATGTGTTGTAGTCTTGTGCAGTGAAGTCTGAAACTCTTCACTTTCTTGTACTTTGCTTTACAAACCTTACATTCATAACAGCCTAGCAGTCCATCCACAGCAACTTCTTCTGATGAAGGAACTCCCTCAGCAATGCTTCCTTTGTGAGCCTTTAACCTATGACAATTATATCCATGCTCAGAGAAGTAATTTCTGTTACACAAAGTACAGTCATATGTGTCAACATTGCTGTCTTCTGCCTGCTGAGCAACATTCTCTTGTACCATGTGTTGCAGTCTTGTGCAATGAAGCCTGAAACATTTTACTTTCTTGTATTTTGCATTACAAACCTTACATTCATAGTAGCCTGATGGTCCATTCACAGCAGCTTCTTGAGGTGAAATAGCTCGCTCAGGAATTCTTCCTTTGTGAGCTTTTAAATTATGGCGATTATAACTCTGCTCAGAAAAGAAACTTCTCTTACATACAGGACATTCATATGTCCCGATATTGTTGTCTTCAACCTGCTGAGCTACGTTCTCCTGTACCATGTGTTGCAGTCTTGTGCAATGAAGTCTGAAACTCTTTACTTTCCTGTATTTCTCATTACAGATCTTACATTTATAATAGCCTGACAGATCATCATCAGATTCTTGCAATGAAATTACTTCCTCAATACTGCTTACTTTGTGGATTTTTGTAGAATGTATTAGCAATGCTCTGTTACTATCAAATTTTTTATCACAAATGCGGCACTGATTGTCTGTTTTGCCATTATCATCACAGACACCAACTGTACCTACAGATGTGTTCCCTGCACTGTTTTCAGAGCAGTTTATTCTGTGTAACTTGCTATTATGAATCAGTAAACCCTTTTCACTATAAAAGCTCTTACAACAAACTAAACAGTTATGCTGCTGCGCCTGAACTTGGCCATCTTTACAGTCACCTTGTACTGTACTGCCCGTCACTTCGCTGACCTGTTTCTGACTACTATTAAGTGAAGGCAACTGAGAATCATCGTCCCTACAGTATCTCCACTGATGTGATCTTAAATGACGTACATTCTTCAATGTCTTCTGGTAAACAGTATGCATCACAGACTCTTGCATGAGATGATCTTCATTAACTTCAGCAGTATCAGGTGTATCAGAATTGTTAATAACTGCTGTCTGTTGTGTCTCTTGTTTGTGAACTCTGCCTTTGTGAGTTTTCAAACCTCTTGCATTCCTAAAAAATAATTTACATACAGTGCACTGGCTTCCTGTTTTAAGACTGTCTGCACTTAGTGTTGATTCATTTCTAGAACTGTCATCAGAAGTTCCTCTGAAGACCGATTGTGAATCATTATGAAGTTCAACCTGGTTTACTGCTGATATACTGCCAGTTACACATGACGGATTCAATCTTTCATGACACTTCAGACCTATCCTCCTTCTGAAACTTTTCATACACTTCATACATTTCCAAGGAATTCTCTTATGAGACAGTAAATGGTGATCAAGGGATCTCCATTCTGTAAATGTTCTCTTACAGAATGGACATTTATGACATCCCTGGTTCACTGGAGTTTCATTTGGTAGCTCTTGTCCAGAAGATGTGGACATGTTTGTTACTTCATTAGGTGGCTTACTTTTGCAACACCGCTGATGTCCCCTAAGCCCTTTCATGGTCATGAATCTCTTCTTGCAATAGCAGCATTCACATGGAAAGTCTGACACAGTGACATTATTATGCTGAGTTAGTGAATCCCCTTCTGAGCTTTGAGACACCTCAGTTGTTCTGGTAGTATGTGTTCTGCTATGCAGCCGAAGACCTAATCCTGAGCTGAATGTCTCATTACACACAGGACATATATGACAACGTTCTTCAGAATGAATTCTGCTGTGCAACTTCAGACTGTTTTCTGTGTCATATGTTTTCTTACATACACTACATTCATAGGGCTTTCCAAAAGCATGATATCTCGAACAATGTACTTTCAAACCCTTTTCGGTGTTAAATATCTTATTACAGAGACGACATCCTAAACCAGGTCCTTCTGTATGTGTATGGCGGTGACCTCTGAATTGTTGCCAGGTACTGAACTTCTTATTGCAAATCATACATTCATAGCCACGCCTTTCTCCATGACTTTTGACATGGATCTTCAGACCATGGGAAGTGGAGAACTTCCTAGTACAAGTGCTACATTCATACAAATGATCTGAATTCGGATGGGAGAATGATGAAACTGGTTTCTGGTCAACACTCACGTCACCCCTTTCTGCAGGGTGGTGTTGGTGATGGTGGTTGTGGTTGTTACTGTTGCTACTATTATTAGCTAGATTTTGTATAGCCACATCAACAACCATGACAGGATCATGTTCTTGTTTGATGAGCAAAGGCTGCAAAAAGAAGGAAAGAATGAAAAATACTGTATATACACAATTCTTACCTAAATTTAGAAGCTGTATGATTAAGTAGCAAGTAATTAAAAGGTAAGGTAAAGCTATCCCTGTAACAGGCCGTGAAGGTCCATAGGGTCGTGAGGCATCCAGGTTCCCACATTTTCTAGACAGTCAGCTCACAAATGGTGGTAAGGTTGCCAGCCTTACATGTCGACTGCCCCCCCCAAGATTCCTGGTACTAATTTATGTTAAGAGGCTGGACTTACGCCCCCAGGCCATAGCGTGGCTGGATCTACCTCATCAGGACTCAAACCCATGACCTTCCAGCTTGTAGCATAGTGCCTCAACCAACTATGCTACTGTGTGCCCCAGCAAATACTTAAAAAGTTGAACAAAATTTTATATCGTTTAAATATCTTGTAAATACAAACTGTAAACCTAAGCTCTAAAGAAGTAAAATGCTCATTTATCATGTAATTTATTGATGTATGGTTTTTAACTGTATGTCATTCACAATCAGCTCTTTAATATATGAAAAGGAGTAATGTATTATGTTCCATGAATTAAAGCTGAAAGAGTTAATGATGTTTAAAATTGATATTTCTATATACACATTGAAAACTCCGATTATATTAAATCAATATTACACATATTCACCAACATACATGCAGAAAATTGTAAAATGTTAAATTGTTAAATTAAAATGTTAATTAATGATAATTATATAATAAAATAAATAAAAAATAGCACTTATATAAGGAGTTACACAGGAAATGATTATTTCATAAATTTGTAGCATTTGCCTTAACTCTTCACAAAACTTCACAAAAACAAAATGTACATGAAACATAAATAAATGCAGTTAAATTCACATTCTCAGTGTTGTTTAACTGAGATGTCGGCTCTATATAAAAGTATATAAATTACCAGTATACCTCCATTCAGATGTTTTTAGATAGATTTCTGTGTCATTTTTCTGCCTGAAGAACCTTTGGCTCATGTAACTACAATGCAGTGGTTCCATGTTACAGTTTACTTGCCCACATCACCTAACAATTGATACTTCAGGGCCACAGCAGGCAAAATTAAACTGTTTTACTAAACTCCTGCTGCCATGAAAAGGACCATCCTTGGGTTTGTGAGAGTTTTGTGTAGTGCTGCTTCAAATAAAACGAACCATCAACAGCAACTGTAGTGTTCTGCACTTTAGTAATTCTGGTCATGTTGCCAGCCCAAGAAACATTCCAACTATCACAGTCAGCTCTCAGTTTCCAGCTCCAAATCAAGGTATTAGTATGCTCAGCAGGTTTTTTTTGTACTGTGCATGTTTAGTGGCCTTATGAGAGTCATACTTGAGTTTACAAATACATTTCTCTGAGAGACAAACACATTTTGCATTCTTTGCACTACAACAGGGAAATATTATTCTACATGTATTTGGCTAAGATAGAATTCAGAGTCAAATTAATCCTTATTTATTAACAGCAATCCTTCCAGTATTTCCCAATTAAATTTTGTTCCAACAAGACAACATACTTTGAAATTATGAAAGTATGTAAATGATACAGTAATGTGAGAGTACAGAAGAATGACAATAATGTTACACTCACATCCTCCACTTCCTCAAAAATATTGTCAGTTGGAACTTCTCTGACAACAGAAGTTGTACAAATATCATCACTGGATGCATCTTCTTCCTTGATAAACATGACCTAAAAAGAATATTCTAAAATGAATAAAATATAAAACATATCCAGTTTTTTAAACCCCAAACAACATTTATAGTTCATATATTTGATTTCTGGGTCTACAATTTTAAAATATAAGACATGATCGGAGTATGAGTACATAACAACCAGTTAAACATAGCTGAGCATTAATGAGACAAACGTATGTGTTACTATACTATAATACAAACCACATGCAACACAAAAACAGAACATTCCATATATAATCAAGAAAATAGTCCATTATACTATTTAATGCCTGTGTGGAGGTGGGTTTGAATACATCCATCACAGCCCTGCAAGTTGTAGATGGAAAGGCAACCTGGTGCCTGGGGGTTTAACTGGGTAACCCTGTCACTGGGGGACATAAATGCAGAGACCTGGTCCTTCATGGTGGGGGTTTGATGCAAGGCCGATGACCTTGCTCTGTAAAAAAATACAGTTGCAAAATCCAAAAAGTGAAAAATCCTCCAAGGAAGGCTATGGCTCAAAAAGGGCCATTTTGCCAATGATGATGATGATGAATATTATTTAAATCTCCCAGCCATTTATGTAGATTCTACTCTCTCACATATAAAAGTTGAGGCTACAAATGTACTTACCTCTGATCTCTGTTAGCCTGCCCATGGTGACTGGATGAACATATTTTTGTAATTTTGGTCAGAATCAATGAAAATTTGTTATACACATAATTATTAAAATTGTGGGTGTGTGCTGGTATTAAACACAACTGATAAAAATGATAAGAACTTTGCAGTTGAGTGTTTTGCACTCCTGCTTTATGTCTGGGAGGTCCTGAGATCAAATCTCATCCAGAAGAATGACTATCCTGATCCAGCTTTCTTTAGTTTTGCTCAGGTGTTTCAGACAAATACCAGAAAATATCTTGAATTAAGCCATGGCTGCTTCCTTTCCCAGAGTTTCCAATTCATCTGTCTTTAATTATTCCATCACTCAATGCCATATAATCTTAGCAACTGAACAAGCTATACAAAGCAAGAATAAATACAGCTGGACACAGAGAAGAAAAGAGATGCCTTCCACAACTGGCACTCCATTATCAATGAGGAACAGGCTTTAATGATGTTATTCCACATACAAAGTAAACCTTAATGAATATATCAATAAATTAATCACACATATTGTAAAAAATTAATACAAAAGACTCATTTAAACACAACAGCTCAAAGATCTGAGAGGACATTATGTTATTAAACTGACACATAACACTGGATATCTCACTTTAAGATGGCCCCATGTGGCCAAAACATGTTGTAAATATACATATATGAAAACATGGACAAGGTGGTGTTCCAGCCAATAAGTTATGAAAGCGTTGCAATTACAGCACTGAATTATACAGGTTTATCATGTGCTCAACTAATGCAACAGGATGCTGAAACACAACATCCTTCAAACTCATACTGCTTCATATGCATACCACTCTAATTTCAGTCTCTCCACCACACCTTTCCTAAGGTTGTTTCCTTCCATATTCCTTGATAAACACGCACTTCCAGCAGTCTACCTGTGCTGCCAATATAGCACCTACCACATTCATTGGAGATACTATACACAAACTGCCCACTATCCTCAGTATCTATGTCTGGTGTAGTGGTCATCATTGACATATGCAGGATACATTTCAGCTTATCACTTGCCACTGCAATTGGATACTTTGTTTAAAATGTCTCAAAGAACTTCAAAATCTTTTTGATACATAATACAGAGAAAAGTGAGAGGTTGGCCAGCTTTGTCAGGCGGTCACCTGCCTAAGATGAATGCATTGATAGGTAACCATAATAAGAATATCTGGTTATACATAATCAACATTCTTATGCTGTCAGCTTGACAATTTATGGTGACACCTATCTATGTTAGCCACGTGTGGTTCCATTCAAACTTAAACAGGGACAATCTTGCACAAATAATGTTATGATTGCCCATTTTTTGTGTCTGCAGTGACAAATTACGTAGCTACTTTCTTGTGCCGCTTTTGCTGCCACGTTAACCTTTTTGAAGCCTTTTTACTTTCTTTCTGTACTTGTAATTACTGTGGAGACCACATGCTTAATATAAACTCAATGAATCTGAAGTGAATGTGACAAAAATATTTCCTTTTGTGAATTTTAATAATCAATCAAAAATGAAAAATACAACAGTCTACAGTAAATTAAGTAAAAAGAGAATGCACAATTTAGTGGACAGTTGGTTATTACCCTATTAACTGCAAAGAAATATCAGAAAGGATACTTGAAGGTACACACACGGGGCAGGCAGTCAATATATTGTAACGTGTTTACGTTACCGAAGACGCCGTAGAGATGGTTAATTGGTTTATTTAACAATCTACAAGTAACGGCTACAATTATCACACAGTTGCGGGGTTTCACACTTTATAACCCTAATCGCATTAATCTGTTAACACTGTTGCGGGGTTTCACACTTTATAACCCTATGCGCAAATCAGTTCACTCTGTCTTCAGTAGTAACACGTTGACAGTAGGGGAGCTTTGTATCACTGTATCACGCGCTCCCAATTACACAATCGCACACACGTCCGGATCTTCTTACCGCGACGGCTGCTATACTCCAACTGTAGTCGGCTGGCTGTTACTTTATAACTCGGAATGTCTTCGGCGGTAGCCACACTGGAACTCGAACTGAACGATACGCACTGTGCATCCACTTATATAGCTGCAGTGCTTGCCTGTGGCGTAATGAGTGCCACGTCACAGTAGGACGTTGATTACGGTTACGTTAGCGTTGCGCGTTACGTCACCGCGGAGGGGAGTGGCGGGGAGCGCTACGTTACCGTGGAGAGGAGGGTGGAGGGGGGTTCTCAGTCGCGCAACATGTTACAATATTTTCATTTGTACAGACAGTATAGCTTTTTTCTTTTTAAGGATGTAACACAGAAAGGTTATAATATGAACACTATCACTGCACAAAATGCAGTAAAGTGGACAAGACACAACTTGCATTTTGCCTTGTTTTACGACTATGATGATATGCCACATGAAAAATAGTGATTATCAAAACTGTTAAATAGAGAAGTTTTAACAGTTTAGATTGTTACTAAATGCAGTTCCTCTGTAGTAATGACTTGATTGAGAAAATCTGAGAACACCAATAAGTGAGTAGAAACAGCTTCCTTACCTGATCATTTCGTCTATCCTGCTGTCTCCTGATGAAATCTCGTAAGCTGCAGTCTGAAGCTTCAACCATCAATTTGAAATCACAAAATGAATTCACCTGACTGATACATTCCTCACAAACATGGTTGGGCAACCCATCCCCGGCATACATCTGTAAACACACACAGTTGTTCTGCTGCCTTCTCATTGTTAAATATCACCTTTGCTTTACATTGCAGATGACAACAATGATGTCAAAATCATGTATCATATATTTACACACACCATATGCACAAAGACAGTTCTTGTCATTGTGATGATAACTTAACTGATTATTTTGGTATATTTCAGTTAGAGCAAGGGTCTCCAAACTACAGCCCGCAGGCCACATCTGGATCGCGATGTGATTTTATCCAGCCCACGAAAGAATTGTGCAGAAATGCACCAACTGAACTAATTTTCCAATGAGTACTGGTAAAAAAATACTTGTTCATAGATTTCAAATTCATTACTTAAGACTGTGTTTAAAATATACTGATATGCCATATTACATTAATATTAATATTATTCACAACCACTTTTATCAGATACCGAGTGGCTTTGGAAATTAGAATTTTTTGATCTGGTGAACCATATGAGCAATTTGAATTTAAAGTTGCAGGGTGAAAATAACTTAAGTCTGTGATTTATTTGCACTTATCAAGGCATTCAGAGCAAAGCTGATACTTCTGGAAAGCCAAGTGAAAAATTGTAACTTTGTTCATATGCTATACTGTGCAGAGTTGCATAAAGAGGGTGAAGCTAAATTTCCTTCCTCGTTTGCAAATTTAGTCATTTCAGATTTGAAAGAACAATTTCGGAAGCGATTTGCTGATTTGGATGCCAGTATTCAGGAAATTAAATTGTTTCAAAATCTGTCTGACTGTGATGCTGCAGATGTCCCAAGTCAAATTTGAATGGAAATTATTGAACTTCAGGAAAATTATCATATTAAAGACAAATACAAGGAAGGAAATTTGACTGAATTTTATAAACTTCTGAACTCTGAGCAATTTCCAAATTTAAAGAAATTTGTTTGTAAATTTATCTCAATTTTTGGGACGACATAACTGTGTGAACAAACTTTTTCCTAGATGAAGTACATCAAGTCGAAGTACAGGGCAAATTTATCCTATGAACATTTAAAGTCGCTACTTGTGGTTAGTGTTTCAAAATTTGAACCTAATTTTAATCAGATTTTAAGAATGCAAAAAGAGTTCCATCATTCACATTAATTGTTTTATTATAATTTGTGATGAAAATATGAGCATTTGCTGCTACTGTCTGTTGTCATTAATATACGATAATTTATTCCCATGTACTTTGTATTTAGTTTATGAAATTCTGTGCTTTCAATAAAACTCATATACCTAGAGTTATTAATTTCTCATTTTATCCAGCCCGTTGAAAGTGCTGAATTACCTAATGTGGCCCACGTTTTGAAAAGTTTGGAGACCCCTGAGTTAGAGCATCCCTTATCTCAAGATTTTAAATTATTTCATTTATCAGAGTCATGCAATTATTTCATTTATCAGTCATGCCAATATAAATAATTTTAATATTGAATTAGGTTAGCTCTGATGATATAGTAACTTGTCTGCAGACTGGAAGACAAAAAATCAGGGTTTAATTCCCAGCAGGGGAAAAAGATTTTCTCTTCTCCAGAGCATCCATACTGGCTCTGAGGCCCACTTAGCTTCATTTTTCATGGGTACCAGGAGCTCTTACCCTGAGAATAAAGCGGCCAGAGCATGAAGCTGACCACTCATCTATATCTGGTGCCAAGGTCTCTCATAAGTGTTCATGGCGCAGTGCTTAAAACAATGACAACTTCACCATTACCTTGTTTATATAAATGCAGAGTTGTAACACTTTCAAGCCCAGCACCTCACCGCCTCCACCTGCCTGCCATTTTTAACAACACACTGATAGCTGGCAGTATTTCACAGTAAATAAATTAATAGTGATCAATCTGCATATGGCAAAAGATCACTAAATGCAGCTACAAGCATCAACTAGTGACAGAGGAAGAAAGTATTTGCTCAAAGAACTTTTATAAAAAAAATACTGACATTGTCAAGCACCAAACTCCTCTACAGTAGTCCAAAACCCCAGTAATTCTGAGTCCTCTACAGTAGTCTGGAAGCAACACCTATAATGAACAAGTTCTGTAATTTTTAAACATTTCTAAAAGTCTGGAAGGCTCTAATCAGGGTCAATTTGCAGTAATGACATAAATTTTGATACCAGCAAAAACACAACAATTCTGTCACTGGTTCACACCATCTGGCAAGTATTTGATGACTTGACAAAGTCAATCTCTGAGAAGCAGACATCTCCACTATGCATTTGAGGGACCAAAGAGTATGTAATGTTTACAAACAGAAGTTGAGTTTTACATAAGCATGTATTCCTTGGATGTTGCATGAAGAACGACAGGATAACACCGTTTGGTTTATAAAGTGTTACCATTAAGAGAAACTCTTAGAGAACATGAAACATTTCCAGAATTATTACACGAGTTACAATTTTATCAATATTTTAGAATGTCGAATGCCAGTGCTACATCCTATTGAGAATTGAAAATCACACTGACAGCAGTTTCATTATGCCTAAGATTTAATGAGAAGAAATCACCAGGACAACTATCCCTATTATGTACAACATGTGTAGGATTTAGAACATAGTATATTTAAATATAATCAAACAAGACCATAACCAAATTAATTGACATTCCTATTTGGAATACCTAGTATATGAATCTTACCAACCTTTCCTACCAATAAATTTCAAGCCTGTTAGTGAAAAAGAAATTTATAAGATAAACAGAAGTTTGAAATGGAAAAACTCTTGTGGCTATGACAAAGTACCGTCTAGGATAGTAAAAATGAGTATGCCATTTCTCTCATCTCCTTTGATTTATATATGCAATTGGATGTTATCTACAGGCACGTTTCCTACACATTTGAGATTTTCTGAAGTTTTCCCGATATTTAAAAAAGGTAATAAAAGTTGAGATATCTGCTTATAGACCGATATCCCTTTTAACATCTTTTTCTAAAATCTTTGAGAAAGTTATTTCTAACAGACTACTTCAACATACTGAAGAAAATAATATATTTGCCTTGAATCAACATGGATTAAAAAATAACAGTTCATCGGAACTGGCTATATTTAACCTAACAAATCAAATTTTATCACAAATGAATAAGAAATCATTAGTTAGTGGAATTTTTGTGCGACCTAACTAAGGATTTTGATACTGTAAATCATGTCATCCTATTCGAGCATAATGGCATAGTAGGTAGATTTGATGAATTAATTAAATCTTTCTTAAGTAATAGGTATCAAAGAGTAATAATTAAATCATTGTATGCTTCAAATTATGTTTCAGCCTGGGAATTAGTTAAACATGGAGTGACCCAAGGGCCGATTCTTGGACCCTTACTGTTTTTATTTAATATAAATGATCTATCTAAATTAATAAAAGGCAAAGCCTTACTGATGCTCTTTGCAGAAGATACTACCTTTATAATATCAAATTATGATTCAGTGAAGATGGACCAAGATGTTAAAGTAGTTCTGGAGATTACACAAAATGATTTAACTCAAATAGAATNCTCCGAAACGTCGGTTAACACCACATATACACGGTGCCAAATCCCAGAAGACTGCTTTCTTCATAGTCACCGCAGTGAAAGCCTCAAATCTTACAGAATGCTATTAAATTATAATAAGACTAACTTTATGCAGTTCCTTCCAAATATTAGTCATTGGACTTTGGATACCACTGAATTCAATACTTATAATATTAACGCTACTAACTCCATTAAATTTTTAGGTATTATAATAAAATCTTCATTAACATGGAAAGACCATATTGATTATATACATTCAAAGTTAAATCCATTAGGCTACATGGTTCGTTCCCTGAGACCTGTATTAGAATTGAAAATCCTGTAACAGATCGACTTCTCCTATGTTCATTCAGTGTTAAATTATGGTATCATGTTTTGGGGTAATTCACCACATAGTAGATCTATTTTTATAACCCAGAAACGAACTGTAAGAATTATCATGAAAGCTAAAGCAAAGGATTCCTTTGGAATTTTAACTCCTTATTCCCAATATATCTTTTCAACTCTTATGTTTGTTGTAAATCATAAGGATTTATTCACAATAAATACTGACTTGCAAAAAATAAACACCTGCCAAAAATTGTACTTTCATGTTCCTTTAGTAAGTCTAACTAAAGTTAAAAAAGGAGTATATTATTCTGGTATTACCTTATTTAACTCTCTACCCCCCCCCCATATCAAGCAAGTTGCACATGATATTAATAAATTTAAACATAAACTGAGAAAGTTTCTTATAGAAAACTCTTTTTATTAAGTTGAAGAGTATCTTGATAGGAATAATAAATCTGACCTTGGGGTATCCCAGTAATTACAGCTTTGTATTTTAGTTGCCTTCATTAGTTTCTTATATATATTTTTTAATTTTTATTTACTTTATGTTAAGACAATCTTGTGTAAATATCAATATAATCTGCTGACAATTTCTATATCCAATGGTCATGTACCTGAATGGATCGATGAATGCTAATAAATACAATACATTATAATACAATACAATACAATACAATACAACATGATAAATTTCAATGGCTATGGTTCTACTGATTGCTACCTCAACAAACTTGTCACCATTCTTCTAAGTCAGCTGTTGATAAGAGCCAAAGCTTCATCTACACAGTGCAGAATCATGAATATCCATGACCAATCAACAAGGGTTTATAAGAATGCCAATGCCACATGAAACGTCTGCCACCAATAGTTTTAAGAAAATGTGGACTGCAATATCTGGTGACCATCTCAGCTGCTTCAATCTTTCTGCCTACACAATTTAAAGGCAACACTGATTTTGAAGAGCACCATTTTCTGATATTATATTTAGGCATCCTGTTACACTCACACAAAATATATGAGACAAACTCCGTCTTAAGTGCAACAATTTAATTGTAGTTCTTTCTTCTGTAGTTCTTAAAGATAAGCAGCGACACACACAGAGAGAGCCTACACAGAACAATACCTGAACAGCGATAAAACAAGAAGTGGCCGCTGCAGCACTATAGACATATGGCGTGTACCCCGAGAAAATTTTAATTTTTAAACATTTGGAAAAA